GTAGAAAATCTGTGTTTTTTCGGGTGAAGAGGCTTTTAATAGTAAAATAACTGACCAATCACAAAGAACTCCCCTCCCAGAGGGGGGTGTTAGATTTGATACCCCAGTGGGTCACATGGTCATTGGGTTGGTCACGAGTTTTATTCCAAAAGCACCACTGTTACTTTAGAACTATATGTGCTTGTAATTATACAGAGTTAAACCTGCTGAAAATAAATATCTCACATTAGAGGATCGCAAACAGTGTAAACATGAGATATTTATCTCTCATGGTTACAAAAAAATACAGTAGGATATATGATTATATACCAAACAGATAAAATCAAAAAGGGTTTATTCAACTATGATTAAGCTTTTTGGGTGTTTATCGTGATATTATGTACTTTCACATTGAACAACACTTTAACATAGAATAGTGAAGGCACATTAAGATCCTCTTGTGCTTTCTCCCTATTGTCTATGTTGATTGCATTCTTTAGGTCCAGAGCAGAGAGAGGGAGGAGGGAAGAGCAATAAAAATCACCCAGACACCTGTTTTCCATGCCACCATTTGGTTAGTCAGGCCAGGTCAGGCCCTGTAGGTTTGGGGTTGACACTCGAAGTGGGAGAATGTTTTTCTTTTCCTCTCCATTATCCGTTAGTTCCCTTTGAAGCAGTGGCGATTCTAGGTTTTATTTGTAGGGGGAGGCAATAGGGGGCCAATGCTATATTTTGGGTGACACCCAATTACTGCGTTATTTGTAGATGTAGCCTACAGCAATTTCTCAAGACGTGTTCTTTACTTGTACTCACATTGTATGACTAAATGTAGACCTAACCTGATTAAATAGATCTAACAAAATAAACATGATCTGGAAAAGGTTTCTAGTCAGAACATACTTTTACAATAGGGAATGTACAATAGTTGCTTCTTTCAAAAGCAACTCATGACACTCACACTGATTCACAGCATGAAGACTAATGTTAAAATAGCAGCCTGATGGCTCAGGGTGAATTCAAATGATACGTACATGTAAATACACACATAAACACAATGCTCTCCTCTTTTATATTAACAATTATGTTCTTAATTTGCTCTGAGGAACGTCTGTCTGTCCTGCTCTGCGTTTCACCTGGTGCTGATGATGGGCTACAGCTGCTGGACTGGTCCTGCTTTGGATGCCTGTCCTCAGAACTGTCCCCCTGAACCTGTCTGGTTCACTGGTCTGACCCTCACAGGGCTTCTTCTTAACTCTATTCAGGACTTTGGGGGTCTTTTGGACCCCAGGCCATTTGGTTTAGGTGACAGGGATTGTTTTTGATATTTAAAGATTTTATTTTTAAATATAAAAAGAGGGGCATGTGTCATGCATTTGGAACCAAAAATGTGTCAACTTATCAGAAAATGTATATAACATAGTACAAAAGCCTATAATGAATACCAACAATTATTTTGCTCATATTCTTTCTTGGGGTCCAATGGACCCCCAAAGACCCTCTACGAATGGCAACATGGAAGTCCTGAACAGGGTTTAGACAACTAACAATGCTGGCTGCGCCTCTTTCTGACATTTCCAGCAGCCCTGCTGCTGCTGCAATAGAGACTAAATGACACCATTCAGCTGTAACTCAAACTTGGGATTGATAATGCCCTGGCCACTCCCAAAAAATCTCTGTGTATAGTGTCTTCATTTAACATCAGCAGATTTTCTTTGTTTAAAAAAAAAAAGAAGAAGAAGAAGAAAAAAAAAAACCACACCGTAGAAGGTTTCGTGTCACATAATCATTAACCCTTTAAGCCTTGAGCTATTTTTCAGGCCTTTGCTCGAAAATTACATACCCATAATAAAAACAGTTTATCTCTGCAACCACAAGGTCTATTTGAATAATTCTTGTGTCATAATAAAAGGAACACTTGTAAGATTTGTTACTGGTGAAAAGTAAATGTAGATGACACACACATAAATTAAAAAATTTCAGGTTCGCCTAAAAAAACAAAATGCAGTTTCAGGATAATTATGTCTTTGGAATGATCCAGCTGCAGCTCCAAAATCATAGCACAATATGTGAACATTCTCCCTGCAAAGGTTGACTCTGATAAAGAACAAAATTACAGAGTTTTTAGTCCAGACAGTTCAGGTGAGGTGACATTTTTGGACACTTTGGCACATTCTGGCACACTGGTGACCATCTGAATGTTCTTATGTACAAACTATATATTTCACTTGCATATTACTAATGGGTTCAACACATCAAAATACAGAGTTTTTTAGTTTTTTAAAAATCCAACCAGACGGCTGTCTCCGTTGCATGGCCTGTGCATAATGGCGACCAAGACGGCTGTGAAGCTTTGGTGGTGACGCAGGGCTGTATCTCCAACATGGATTGGTTGATATTGGTGATTGACCCCTCCTTCAAATCGTTAGAGCCAATAGAATATAGCGATAGCCACCAAAACGAGATTGACAGCACTGTTAGCCAATCAGAATCAGCAGGACGCCATCTTGTAGACGAGCCACTTGCTCCCTCGTCCGCTTTGCGTTCGTGCCCTAAGGGAAACAGAGCCTTCAAGAGACGCGTGACGTGATTTCCGTGTGGCACAGGAAGTAGTACTAACTGATTCCAGTGTGGATTTACCGATAAAATAAAGCTTTCATGGAAAAACTTCAGAAACCCCTTGATGGTTATTTACCATCTAGCTGGCACATTTCATAAGCTTCTCTACCTAATAACATCAACTTTTTGTCACCAAAATGTTAAATGATGAACTAAAGATAATGGGTAAATCTACAAGTTAAGATAAAACACATCAGTAAGTCGTTTAATTTACCGCACGTTTGAATTTGACACGGACCGTATCAGTGTCCTTTAGTGCGAGTGGAAGCGAGAGAAGAGGTGTGCTTGTTTTACGTTCCAGCCACTCACTTCACAAACACTACCACAATGCTCTGTTCACCCCGCTCCCATAAAGCGGCGCTGTACAAAACCAGCTAGCGCTCCTCAAAGAAACTACCCAAAGACAAGACAGTTACTTCACCAAGGGGGCAGAGAGAGGGCCAATCAGATTCCAGCAGGGGCCATGGCCCCTGTGGCCCCTCTCCTCCCTTCGCCTATGCTATGGAGCTCTGGTGGTGTTATCCATTGATTTACACCTTCCTGTGAAGGGCTGTAAAGTGTTGTCTCTCTCTGACATCTGTGTCTGTTCATATCCTACAATTGATCATGACATGCACAGGTGGCGCAGTTGTTAGCATCGTTGCCTCGCAGCAAGAAGGTCGCCGGTTCACATCCCGCTGGGGGCACCGGGATCTGTCTGCGTGGAGTTTGCATGTTCTCCCCGTGCAGCGTGGCTTCTCTCTGGGTTCTCCTCCCACAAGGTCCAAAAACATGTTGAGGTTAATTGGTGATTCTAAATTGTCTGTAGGTGTGAGTGTGCTTGGTTGTCTGTCTCTAAGTGTAGCCCTGTGATAGACTGGCGACCTGTCCAGGGTGTCCCCTGCCTTCGCCCTGAATCGGCTGGGATAGGCTCCAGCCCCCACGACCCTAGTGCGGATTAAGCGGTGTATAGATAATGGATGGATGGCATGCATAGCTATTGCAATAGTAAGGCATTTTACAAAATATTATTCTAAACCTGCAGTGCAAAACGTTCAACTTTCCTTTTTGGGGCGAAGTTAACATCCATATCTGCCCTCACTACCTGCTTTAAGCCTTCTCTAACGAAAAGCCACACCAGTGGTAATCCATGTTATTTTCGATTGCTTTCTTTTTAAGACCCTAATCCTTCCTATTAACGGTACATTTCTGTTTTATCTGGAGGATCAGGAACTTCTCATGGAGCCTTCTTATGTTATTCTGCCATAGTCTCTGCTATACTCTCACCTGCTGTCAGCTATGAGTGTACTTCAAAAACTTTTTGGTCTCCCCTGGAAAGAAAAGGCGTAACTCCCATTTTGGTGCATAATTGTAGCCTATATTGTAAAGCTTTATATCACTGTCTGCAAAAACTCAAATGTCTGTCATTATTTCTTTGCCAGGCGAGAAAAGCTTCTATTTAGTGTGCTGTTGCTTCAGGACAATGCGCCCGTCCACTCAGCACAGATGTGTGAGTGAGGTTCATGGGGGCAACAGTTCAAAGCCACATATGGCTGCTTCTGCCACCTGTGCTGTGTGGACAGACACATTGTCCTGGAGCAACAGGACACCTCCTTTTTTCTTTGATTGCTTCAAACATTTGAGTTTTTTGTGGACAGTGATCTCAGGCTTTGTAGTGTACAGTTATGCTCCAAAATGGGAGCTATGCTCCTTATTTCTGGTGACGTGTCCATTGCTTTTCTTGTAAACCAATCATTGCTGGCTGACATAAAAGACATCACTACTGGTGCACTAGTGTGGGAATGTTGCCAAAGACACTAGATTTGACTGGTTTAAATACCCTAGTACACAGTTATTAAAGTTGTCAATACATACCCAGAGTTTAGAGGAGGTTTCTGACCTGACAACAGCACATCCCCCACAGATTTTAGAGTCAACTTTTGGCACAAAAGTATGTTTCCGTTATTAAGCTGTAATTGTAAATTCATGAATGGGATCAATTTCTGTTAAAACTGAAAAGTTACACTGTCTGAAAACCTGAAATTTACAAAAGCTGGTTCTGGGTCTAACTTCTAATCAAATTTATTCAAATTCTAAGAATCTCTATCCAGAATCTTTGTCATCTTGGGGAAAGAGCGTGCAGGCTTGGCTGTGTGCAGGGTTAGCTTGAGCTGATCAACATGTACCACTTATCACTTTCGAGGTTAAACTTATATTAAACTTTGACTGTAAAGGAAGGGGATTAGACAATTCTTTATGAATATAATCAAAACTACTTTTCCATACAATATTTTTTACATGCAGTGTTGAAAAGATAAAACCTTTTGCGATCTGAACAACAGAGATGTATAATTTCCACAGGACAGCAATATGAAAGAATGCACCACAGAGAAAAACTACAGGAAAGCAAGTGTTTTTTTTCCGGCCTTTTTTTTTTTTAATAAAATGTTTATTATTACCATTGTATTATTTTCTGTATACAAGAATGTGTAACAAAAGCCAAATAAGCAATCCATTTTAGTCTTTTAAAAAATGGTAAGGCATGTCTGCTTGTATAACCATCAACTTCAGTTCCCCCAAAACACTTGAAACAGCGTGCACTGACAGCTCCAAAAATCATTAATGTGCTCCTTAGATATCTGATTTTGCAAATCACAACAGTATCACACTCACGGCATATGTTTTTAGCAAAAGTGCAGCAACGATTAACATCAAAATGGAGATCTTGCATAACACATTTTGTTCTAAACGTTCTGGAAAAAAAAAACTCAGCCAACCAGGACTTTTTTTTTTTCTTCAGTTTTTCAAATGCCAGAGATTGAACTAGACAAAAATGAATGAATATGGCTCACAGGCAAAATAAGTTAAGCGATGAATAATGTTGAATAGTGATACTTTGTATGTCTGTCCAGGGTAACATAGCTTGTCCTAATGAGAAAACACGGTTGTTTGTACAGATACGAGCTATTTGGAGAAACCGGGCCAACTTCCGAAACATTCTTTTCCCAATTCACTTTCTTTTACTGTATTTCAAGAACACCAGTAAAGCGCTGCCTCATCCTCGCTCATCCAAAACTCTTGCTGCAATCACGGATTTTGTAGAGCCTCTAATGGGTGCGTTCGACCTTTGTATGGCTGCAGATGCTTACTGGGTTTTTACTGTTTGGAAAAAAAAAAAAAAGCGTAGTTGTTAAGCCTCACTGAGAAGGCAGCAGTGCCAAATCTTAAACAATGCCAGCATCTGAAACCACACCGCTAACTTCCCATCTTATTATCAAGCACATGCTGTACTGATCGTTCCGCCTCACTACTGACCCTGACTCAGAAATATCTGCCCCCACAATGTTTCCTAATGCTTTCAAAGTAAATGTATGTTGTGTTTGACTGCAGCAATACAAAACCCACGAACTTGCACTTCATATTGATGTAAAAAAAAATTAAAAATCTTTCTCTTGTCTATCGTATACTTCTTTAATTTGCCAATTTTAACACTATCATAGCACAAAGATCATCAGAATGCAACTGTTACTGTCCATCTGAGTATAGTTTAAGGGAACAATACACCAAAATAAAAGCGCTCAAAAAAACATCTATTTGTAAAAATCAGAACATTCAGTATCAAGTGTAGATATTCTCTGAGAAATATAAATGTCTGGAGCTAAAACTGAATTATCAGTCTGTGCTTCACCAGTCCAACGACTCCATCGAACAGATCATGATTTTTACATGAAACCCCTTTCGCTGCAATTATCTGCTCTCCAGGACTTTACTCTTGGGTGGATGAATTCTAGCAGATCAGGAAAACTGGCATTGCACATTAGGGCCGACAGCTAGTTTACTTTAATGGTATTTGATTGAACATTCAGCATGCTGCAAATAGTTACAGCTGGATGTCCTCCCACCTGTCTCATCTGTCTGACCCACTGAAATAGCACCAGCTGACGCTTTTGCTAATCAAATGACTTCAGATTCGTTTGTTTTCACCCCCTGTCTAACACAGTTTGGGCTTTCTGTGCACCATGATCTGGCAGAAGGACACGCGAGTAATTCAATACATATATATGAAGAGACAAGTGGAAAAGAGTGTAACCCATGTAACTTCTGCATAATTACTGTTTTAGATTCAGAGAGGTGGGTCAGTTATGTTTGTGTGAAGTTTCCACTGCGGCCATGGTTCTATCTCATTCAGGCTTTGACCTCAAAAAGGGCTCAACAGATTAATTGGTCCTGTGGTGTGAACTGAAATTTGCATCTCTGACTAAGGGCTTAAAAAATTGCATTCTAACCTAGCATCTATTTTCCTACAGCGACTGTAGAGCAACAGGACTGATGAGTTTTGTTGGTTATCGCCATAGTGTAGTGGATGGATCTTGTGCATTCATGGGATGTACCTATAATCTACATTTTCTTTTTTATGTCCTTCAGGCCTTCAAGTTGTGACACTGACAGAGGCATGGGAAGTGACAGGATCTCCCACTCTTCTTCATCTACCAGTGACGCAGCCAAACTTGCTGCATTTAAAATCATCCCCTGATTTATTCACTACTCCTTATATATTGAAACCCTCTGCTGCTCACTAATGAGTGAATTAGAATTATGATTCTAGACACTTGTAAATCATCTTCATTTTGTGTCATCGCTGTCAGCTGTTGAGCCATGCAATTGTCATTTTGATATCGGTGTAATGTGGGGCATTGCATTGTTGACATTTAGTAGTTCTTGAGGGCACTACACAGAAGATAAAGTTTTCATAATTTGGACAATCAAAGTGTCAAATAGTTAAATACTACGATTCAATGGGAAATGATTTTGGATGCAATGATTTTCTTTTCTTTTTTTAATCTATCTATTTTATCTGTTAAAACTCTACTCCCAAGACATTCAACTTTTACAGAAGAAGGCACAAAAAAATTACGTAATCAAACAAGAAGCAGTCAACCCTCAAAAAGCCATGCAGAAACAATGACAAAAATAAACTGGTATTTATATGCTTGTTTCATGTAATAACTTGATGAAGGTTACAGTCTCCTCTTTTGTCCACACATTCAATGTTTTTAAATACCTCCATTTTTCATCCGTTCAATGGAGCTTCTGGGGATGTCTGAGTCACTTTCTTCTTGCACGTCATGACTTATTCAATAAGTCTGTTTCACTTAGTCACATTTTGTTTTATTTTATGCCAGACTATTTACCTCAGACACACAGGTCCTTTTTTTGTACAAACTGAAATGTGTCTAAAAACTGATTAAATGGAACTACCTGGACTTTTGTCTGTTACTGCAGTGGTTAAGTACTGGACAGTTTAATGTTGGACAGGACCTTGTGTTAATCACTTCAGTGTTCCTAGACCTTTTTTTGGGCAGAAGCCTCTGTTGCATTTTACAATTAGGATTTACACATCAGTGAGTGAGTGGAAGGCTGCTGGTCAGTCGCCTTCTCCTAAAGCAATTTCTGCAAGGAGTGAGATGATAGAGGTCAACTGCAGTGGGAGCTTCTTCTGGTGTTCAGGTTTTTTTATTTTTTTTGTAAAACATATAAGCACATCAAGGACAGATTTCCCTCATGTCTCAGTGCCTAACTTTTAATATGAATACGGCAGTATTGGATAGAAATGGGCATTGATTTTAATTTTCTTTTGCCAATTTTGTGGAAATTTACTTGAAATATGCACTACATTTGTGTAAAAATGAAACATTATTTGTTAACAGGAAAGCATGAATATCGAAGGAATGGAAGGGAGTAAAAGAACTGGGGTTTATTCGAAATCACTGTCTATTTGTTATACACAGCACCACACTGCAAACTTTGTGCCTTATTCTTTTTTTTCCATTCTCTCTTCGTGCTGGCGGCAGAAAGAGGAAACTCTTAAGTCCTGTGCTTGCCTTGCTATGTGAAACTCACACAGTCTCTTTGAGATGCTCCCAGCAACTATTAATTTGTTACAGCGATGCATTTGGGCAAGGTCCCTGTTGAGATAAGGGACCCGTGCATTGTGAAAACATTTCAGTGCTTATGAGCTGATGGGTTTGGATCCTCCAGGCACACTCCAGCATGAGGGTGGCTGCCTCAAAGGCTTTCTTTTATGTAACATTTTTGAACATTTGCTCCTTTGTTTGTTTCGAGAGTATGCCTGCAACGTTTTTGGAAGCTACCTTTCCTCCACGACCATTGTGCAAGCTTTGCTCCTTTTAAGCCTCTGAAGACAATGAAAGGTCAAAGCCTGGAGGGGACAGAATGAAGGTTGTGAATAGTAACCCTAGTTCTAAGAGTGCAGCCACAGCTCTCCAACCTTTGCACCCAGCTGACACTGTGTACCTGCTATAGGATTATACGACCACATTAAAAGCTTGTAGCCTGTAGGAGTCTGTTCTCACTGGCCGAACAAGAACATGCTAATTTCAGCATGGTGCTTCAGATGTAAGCGGGTAACCTGCAGAGAGCTGCTTCTTAGTTCAGAGGACGAGGTTTACGATTTTGAACCTTTTGTATATGTGATATGAAAAAGTAACAAAAAAGTGTACGAAATAAATCATAATTCTAAATGACTAACGTTTGGGAGACAAGAAAATAAATTAAGTTAAATTTTCATGAGCACATACCTTATCACTCCTCTGAAAATAAAAGGAACCATGTAGGTGCATATTAACTACCCAAAGAGAAGAGAGTAAATCAGGTAACTAAACATTATTAGCAGGCAATTTTAGTATAATGGCTTAGTGTTGCAGAAATGTTCTTTTTTTTCTTCCATTTTTACTTTACAGACGGTCAAATAATTTGTAAAAGGAAATACATTTATTAAAAAAAAAATGTAGCCATTAACTAAGCCAATAAGATTACATTACAGTATGCTCCAGTGAAATACATACTGTAACTGCTAAGTACAATACAATCAGTTAAATGATCTGAAAATATAGAACTTTTTCTCTGTGGGGTGTATGTTTCCTGTAGCTGTATAAACTTATGAAGCCAACAAAAATAATCTGTGCAAAGTAGTTTGCTTAGTGCAGTACATTAGCACTTTCTTACAAATAATCAAATGTGCAACAATAAAGTGGCTGTAAGATCTGCTGCTTCCTGAAGCCACACTGATATGACTGGAAACGGGAAACCAGGTGAACTGCTAGCACTGTACAATCCTGTACCAACCAATCCAAAGCTGTGTAGCCTGCATTTAAAAAAACAAAACAAAACAAAAAAACTAAAAAAATGTTTTTCTGTTAACATCATATCCACGCATGCACACGGTAAAACTTTCTTCATTTGTTTGAGGGGGAGAAGACTAATGGGATAAAATAGCTGACATGTTTTCACTTCATAATACAAAGGAAAAGAAAAATAGAATCCCCTTTATCTGAAAAAAAAAGGTCATTGACAGAACCATCTTAAGATAGTTTCACTTTCTAAAAGAGAAGCATTGTTTTTCAAAACTCACTTTAGAATAATGAGAAAACACCACATTTTAATTTTTTTTTGTTTTGTTTCAAAGACGTGAAAGCTGGTTCACTGATGGCACCGAGCATTCTTTGGGGGGCAAGCAGGATGCAGCACTGCACTCACTTTCAATCCTACCACACCATACAGTAAGCCATTCTTGACAGGTTTCCAGGAGGTTCTACATGTCCAGTGAGGGAACAGCAGTATAACTTGCTGTTAAACATACTGTTATGCAACAGTATAGAAGTCAGTGATCGGGCCACACTGTATTATCTCCATTGAGTCTGCATTGCCCAAAGCGGGAGTGTGAGGGCGGCCAACACCAGCAGTATGGAGGGTCCACAGGAAAGCGACTTGCCTGCGGCCGCGGCTGCTGCGCGTTCGTCGCTTCTGTCAGCTCCGATCACTGGAGCCTCTGTTCCAACAAAAATAAATTCCGTTGTGCAGCCATCAGAGCAGCCACTGCCGCTGCCAGAGCTACTGCCCTCGTCACCTGCAAAGACAAAATCGCACAAATTAGAAATTACATGAAAATAGTGCAATTAGAAGCAGCTAACAGTTAGATCCAAATCAAAGGGTAAGTGAAAATACAGAGTCAAACCTGGTCACACCAGAAAGTGGCACCTGCATGTCCTACCAAAATACAATACAGTTCAAGTTTGGCAGCTCATGTTGGTCTAAAAGCAATATAGCAGCATCACGGTCTAAACGCACTTCAGTACTTACATCTGTAAATGATCACATCACAGTCATAATGCTGTTTGCTTTGGGACTGATTCTGATTTCTTTCAGTTCAGTCGTAACTTTAGTCTGCTCGTTCAACATGTTCAATTCAGTTGAGGTCAAGCACAGTTTGTAAGGTGCTCAATAGCAAAGTATTTGCTTTTTGTGGGTTTTCTGTTCTTTTAGCAAGCTCTTAACAAGACTGTGTTTTCACTTTTTACACTGGGGATGCCTTACATTGTGCCTTTAGGTTCCTACAATTTTGTTAAGCTACTTCTCTGTTCAAAAAAGACTAGAGTAGCACTTGTTAGAAACTGATTCATTAATTTTCCAAAGAAAATAAAATTCCAGTGAAATCTTATTTGGTTGAAATACAGCAACACTGTCAATTTTTCCTCAGTATTGGAGCCAGAGAAAGATCACTATTAACTTGTCTAATCCCCTGACTATATTGCAGACCTAGCATGCAGCAACAGAAAAAAAACGTTCTATGAGGTGCAATCAAAAATTTCCAAGACTCTTGGCATGCATGAATTAGGGGGAAACTTTTTGATCAGTAACTGTCAGAAATCTCAATAGTGTGTGACAGCTCGCTGTCAACATTAAAACCTGTGGGACACACATTTTTTGGTGTGATCACATGTGGGTGCTTCAACTGCATTGTGTGCCCAGTCACGCCTCAGTGATTATGTTTCTGGTTTTTTGGCCACAACAACACAATCGTCACTGTCCGCCTGCTCCCCAGATTTGGCTCCCTGCGACTTCTTCCTATTCCCCAAAATGAAATTCAAGTTGAAGGGTCACCATTTTGACACAGTGGACATTCAGTGCCCGCTGGAGATGGCGCTTGACATGCTTTTTACAAAACGGGGAGTGTTCCAAGTGTGACAGCACTGCTGGGAGCTCTGTTTTGCTGTATAAGGAGACTACTTTGAAGCACATGGCAGCCAAATTTAAATCAGCTAGTTTTTGATTTGTGAAGGCACAGAACTTTTTGATTGCACTTTGTGTAATGCACCACAACCTTACATTAAAAGCTTCACATTCTTATTATAGCATATTGAGAAAAGAGGGCTGAAATATGCTGACATTTTAGATTTCGCAGGCTTTTTTGAATGTACTTCAGGCACCCTATTACTCTTTTTTCCTTATACCTAGCAAGCATGTGTTTACTTATTGATTCAGTCATTTCTCCAAATGTAACAATGAATGTAGAATTGCGATCAAAAAGTTTGGAGATTGCATTTATAAAAAGCAAAAGCATATTCCATGTAAATCCAAGATGCTCCTAGTGCTCCTGCCTAAAACTGAAAGCAAACATTAAATTATGTGCCAAACTGTCTCAACCTTCCTGTCCAGTATAATCCCTGGTGACGAGCGGATCTATGGCTACAACCCAGAGAACAAACAGCAGCCTTCAGTGGAAGAGCCTGCAGTTTCCAAGACTAAAGAGGGTGCATCAGGTCAGCAGCATGACCTGGAGCCTGCTTGCTGCTTTGTTTGACATTCACAGGGTTGTGCATTGTGAATTTAGAGTCAGACTGTCAACACTGAGTTCTGCTGTAGTGTCCTGAGGACATTTGGTGCTAATGACCTGAACTGATGAATGCACTCGATCAGAGTGCATTGAAAAAGCATGAGTTTTTTTGGCCCCAGCAGTCATTGCTCTCCACTTGCAGATTTGGCTTACTGTGACTTCTTTCCCTTCCCCAGAATGAAATTCCATTTGAAAGACTGCTTGTTTCGACAGAGTGGAGGAGATACAATGCGTTGCAGCCAAGTGCTTCACATGCTTACAGACCTGGACTTCCACTGAGCATTCAAAACATGAAAGGAGCGCTGAGGAACGATGTATTGCTACACAAGAAGCTGTCTTCAGATGGGAAGAGGACAAATTTTAATCAGTATGGTGTGTTTCTTTCTTTTTTTTTTCTTGGAACCTTTTATTTGCAAATAAAAGAGAAGGGGGGCCAGATTTGCTTTAGTAAGGTCAGTCAAACTGGAAAAATTGGTGATAAAGATTTGTTGGTGCATAAACTAAACACCTTATTAGTGACCACCTGCATGGCTTCTGAACTTCGTGAACTAAAAGAGCTGGCAATCTGACATGCTTGCCAGCTAGCTTTCCCAAAGGGATAATATGCCCACACAGTTTATTCCAGAGCCCCATTTGTTTCATACACACCTGCCTCATAACTACAAAACAGGCCTCTTTTTTTGAACAGTTTGACAGGGGGAAGGTTAATTGTTGGATGCTACAACGAAGCTAATGAGCTATGATACCCTCCTCTGTTTTGGGCTCTCCATCCCTTCAAAGTTGCTGTCAAGACAGTTTGCTGTTGTTCAGTGGTGCAAATCTGCATGTCAAATTTAACCACAAACCCCAGCGTAAAAGACTTGCATGGCCTCATGAACGGATTTGCTTTTCAGGGCAATTTTATTTAATTAGCTGATCTCAAGTGCTGCTGTGACTTGGGCTTTACAGTCGATAGAGTGAGTAAGATTTTGCATGACTGAATAGCAGTAAGTGCAGAACTTTGACATTTTACTGAAAATGCATGGTAAAATGCACATTTACACTTTTGTTATTTTGCTTGCTTCTGTAAAATATTAACCTATACAAAAAGTTTTCTAGCATTGGTTGTCTAATGTTGAACATACTCCTAACAGGAAAAACAAATGTGACAGCAACGAAAATGGAACTGAGGTGAAAAAACTTGAAAGGCAGTAGTCATGCAACCACATGTTTTGTTTGTAGCTCAGAGAATTTCTCCCATCATGTCAGCTCAAGCAGATCCATGCAATCAGAAAGAATGGTTTCTGTCATGGCAGCATTCGAGATGTACATCTTCCTAAACATAAGCTCAGCTGTCTATCACTGTCTGTCACCACACCTAAGGCTATTTATTCTCCCAAAATGTCAGTCTTGCCTCAGTGCAACACCGAACGTCATGTGGAGTTATATGATGAGTTCCTACATAAATGACAACTGAGATCTTATTTTGGTAGAGATAGTTTCTATATCTGTGGGGGTGTTTCTTGGTCTGTGGTCAAAATCAAAACCAACTTGTAGTAAGAGAAAAGGAATAGAGAACGCTTCTCTCTGTATTTGACTCATTGCATTTTTTCTACCTGCACATAAAAACACCAGGAAGACTGGAGAACTTACTGGAGTCCTGGAAGTAGATGTCATTTCCATTGTAGGCGTTCTTTAGCTTGTTGGTCATGACACGTAGAGCCATGATCTGTTGCCTAATCAGTGTGTCAGGTCTGGTGATGTCCACCTCCACCTCTGGGTTGTTCACCTGGTTAGTTAGACCTTCCTTCACCACTTCAGGGAAGTATCTGTACAAAGTAAAATGACAACTATCTCCATGTTGTATCCGTAGAAGCGCTATTAAAATGGGCTGTTATGGCAATATTTTCCACATTACAGTTTAGCAGACACCGTGCAATGCAACATCAGAATATATGGTTAAAAGAAAAAATGCAGAAAACAATGTTTTTCGTGTCTGCTCGATTTCACCGTAGTCTCAGGAAGGAATAAAAGTAGTACATCCCTACAAATCATTTAAATGAAGCTATCAACCGACATCACTGACACTGAATCAAAGGCAGGCTCCTGTGTGGTGGCTGACAGAGCTCAACACACTGCAAAGAAGGTACATGCAGACAAACAAAGCACCCTTTTGACAAACACACAAATAAAGCATGTTTATTTATGCCACATATCTACTGTGAATGTGACTGTGGCTCTCAATTTGCTCGAGTTTTATTTCCTGGCAGTGTTTTAGTTTTTTTTTTTTTTGCACCATAAGTGTTGTCAAAGCGGTGAAGATGTTCTCTTCATTTGCTTGTGTAGTGTTCATTAGTTAGCGTTTTCTAATTGTTGTACTCTCTCTGCCACCAAACCAGTCCATGTCCATTACAGTGGTTGCAGGTAATACAGTTGTAATTGCTAGCCAGTGTGACTGCAGTGTCGATCCACCAAGAAGCCGCTATGTTAGTTTCTTTCGCTTACTGAATTGAGCTCAACTAGGACTTTGTATACTTGCTGCCTTAAAATAGCAAACACAGATCATCTCTAGAAATTGTGTGAGACAATCTCATAATCTCACTTGTTGTGCATATGTGTTAGTTTCTCACCATTTAACCATTCATTTTATATCTCATTTAATAATTTTATCATCAAGTAAAGTGGGCATGGCCTCCATATAAATAACAGGAAATAACTATTTCACAATGCATTTTTAACAGAGTCTAACTATTACTAATGTTTAATCATCAATTTACCTACCAGATTTAGAATGATGCTAAAAAGAATGGTACTGGCACAAACAAATATCTTTTATTGTACCATCTGGTGATTTTGTTATTTGCAGAGGGCCAAAGTGATGGGGTAATATATTTTTTTCTGCCAGAATATCTAGTTCACTGTCAGAGGAATGAACTCACTGACTGACCTGCAGTACGGCTGAGTGTTACTCTGGTGACAATAGGTGCTGGAAACTCCAGTCCTCTGGATATGAGAGCCTCAGAGCTTATACTGGAGAAGTTCTCCATGTAAGTACTACCATTGTACTTAAAAAGAGTGTTAATCTGGGAACAGAGTGTGGTTATTTTAATCCCTGGCAGGCAAAGTGTGATAACAGGAGAGCAGCGTGACTCTGCTCTGGTTATAAAGAGTAGCAGAAGTTCTCACCTGCCCTTAGTGTGGCTGTTCCAGCATTGCTCCTCGTCGGACTCTGTGAGTTTGCCCTTGGCACAGATGTCATCTGGTAAGTTGGACCAGAATCTCTTGGACTCCTTCAACTTCTCTTTGATGTCAGTCACCTGCCGTGGGCCAAAACAGTGAACAGAGAGATATACATGAGTAGTTCTGAGCTAGTTCTCAGAAAAATCTCTAATTTATTTCAATACTTTTAATTAGTACAACTTCTAACAATCATTGATAATAAAAAATAAAAATAAAAAAAGAATGTATATATATATATATGATTGTTACTCAGCAATATGTGCTTCGAAAACTGAAAAATAAAATAATAAAACAACAGTTCCATCTCTGTATAAGTGGCACATTGTGATTTTAAACAGTCACACGGCAGCAAGTTAGTGTAGTTGCACAAGTCCTTCTGTTCATTTATTTTAGCAGCAGAGAAGCTGCTGGACTACCCAGAGGTCTTTTCTTCTTTCTGTTCTACCTCGTCCTCTTCTATCCATACTGTGTTCATCTGTGATTCATACAAGACAGACTTCAGATTTGATATTTGGCATGAGTGGTTACCGCTGACTGATTCCATCTGGGCTCAGCAAGAAGTTTGAGCGGGTGATCAGTAAATAGGAGAAAAAAAACCCCACAAAAAACAACAAGACTTGTCATGTACAAAAGCACCATTTTGTGTCTTTGGTCATTTTGATATAGTTGGTCACAAACTGGATGACAGAGAAGGCAGAAGCTAATTAATCTGACCATAAGGGGTGAGACATTTGTTAG